GCGTAACTTAGCACTCATTCATGTAGTTTTCATATTCATTACTTACAACAATTATCTATTACTAGCATTTTATTGCTTGTCAGCACTTAAAAAATTAAAATTTATTTATTTTACTGTTCTGAAATGAAGTAAACTATTTGTTTTGAACAAATTTTACAAGGAGCATTCAAGCTCAAGCAATTAAACGCCAATATTTTGAGCGAATTAAACATTCGCTCTTCAATACTTTTCAGTGAAATTATACTTTTTATGACTTATCACAACACATTGGACTAACCAAACGACTTATACGATTAAACAAAACTGGAATTTAAATAAAAATTATTTGACAAAGTAATAAACATCCCAACTTAAGGTATGTAAATTTTCAACACTGCTATTCAAAGCCATAACTTTTAATTTCTGATCTCTGAACTCACTTCTAAAAACAGAAGACTAAAGTCTACTTTGTAAGTGATAAAATAGAATACGAATGTTGGCATCTTTTTTTTGCAAGGAAACTAATATTTAGCAAGCTTCAACAGTTTTCACCACATCTGTTTTTATTTGATACCAATCCATAGTATCTAAAATTTTTGGTTTGTATGTATACAAGAACACATGATCTACAGCAACTTTAATAGCTTACACACTGTGAAATTTTTAATAAGCCCTCGATGTATTGTTGTAAACATATATCATATATTCAACTCTTGAAACTTGTGTAATCCAATAATTTATTCTAAGGAATCGCCACTACAAAAATTACGCTAACAAGAAACAGCATAATTTTCTTATTCATAAGTTCAGCAACTTATTAACATACAAGTCAATTTCTAACGCTTCTTAATAAGGAAATCAAATCCAAAAATGACATAAAAATATTTTGCTCAAAAAACCCTTTTGTATGTACTAATTACAGTAATTTTTCGATAGTCTAAAATAGATAATAATGTAAAATGCATTGAAACTTGAGCTAGAAAAACAATATTTGAGGGAACATAGTGCCTTTGATATAATCAGTAATATACACAGAAATTACTAAAATCGATGATTAATACAGGATGAATTTGCATGTAACTAACAATCCATGATGAAAAATAAGACAAGCAAGTATCTTCAACTGTCTGAGATCGTGCAAAATAAAATAACATTTGAATGGATATTTCGAGCAACGGAATTCCACTATTTCTTGAATTATTATTTCTGAACACTAATCAATTACCACATTATTATAAAAACTTTTATATATGATTGATAATTACCATATACAATTTAGCTAGTAAATTTTTAAACTTTCTTTTAAAAGATGTATCATTCAGTGTAATTAGAAATATGTGGAATTAAACTTAACATATAAAAAAACTAAACGAAATACCATTATGCTTTTAATGACTGAAAATCATTAAAATTTTGCAGCACACTTTGACAACTTTAGAATCTCTTATCGTTACCGCTAAAACCAGTAAAAACCAAAAGATCAAAAAAATAAAAAAACTTTCTGAGATCGTGCACACAGAGCAAACGAAAAAAACATACTATTACCAGTTTTCCAGCAAAAAAAATTGAATTTTATGAAAGTTAAGATGCTAAAGAAAACTGCATCCCACATTTGAACTGTCGAGATGAAACAATTTTAAAGTAGAGTCGTCTAATTGAATCGGCAATAAATGAACAAAACTGGAGGCAGCATATCTGATTCAAACATATGCGCAATTTGTTGAGATCTTCCATACCTTCGTTTACCGCGACATTATTGAGATGGCTGTGAAAATAATGCTTCGGCTGTTGAATTTTTAAAATCAAAAAAAAAAGAAAATATTTTTGTGATAACAATCGTCGCTGTAAAAAAAGCTACTCAAAACTAATTTTTCTTCGTGGAAAAAACTAAACACAGTGAAGAACTGATTTTACGTTTTTTTCAATATATTGCAGTTGCTTACTTAGCCAATTTGAAAGTGTCTATTAGAATGATAAAAAACCAGAAACTGCACTAAGAAATCAGACTTACATCCATATGAACGTAATCTGAATCAGAAATTAAATCGATCGACTCAGACTGCTTCTTTTCGTTGTTATTGTCTCTAATGGTTTCTTTCTCAGAAAATTCTTTTTCAGCTCTTAAATTCACTTTACTTCGAACTTTCCACTCATTATGGCTGCCAGCCGACTCAATATCTCTAAATTTGTAATCTTACCATTATGTTTCATATTTAACTAAACAAATATAGCATGCATACCATGATGTATTGCAAGTTGATACAAACTTTGAGGAAGCAGGAGATGATCTTCCTGACAAGCTTTCTTGTATGGTCTCGAAAACCTGTGAATTGCGAGAATCAGAATAACCATTAGCAGTCAGCTGTCCCTCATAGCCAGATTTTGGTGAATTATGCAGATCAGAAGAACTAGTCTCCGCCGGATCTCTTCCAACATAATCGTCATCTTCATCAGATTCATTTGGTACGCTTACTGAGCTGTTACCTAAAATTATTTCTATACTTAACGTTATTACCGAAAACCACCTAGATATCTTTTTATGAAGGCATAAACTGATACGATGCTGTTAATAAGTACCTACCATCTGAAGTTATAATTTATAAAAAACAGTCAACTTTTCAATGACAAAAATGTGCGAAAGAATACTGAGTATCTTGCAGTAAAGCATCAGAAAAGACAAGATAAGCTGGTATCAAAGTCAATTCGTCAATTCATACGATTTCCCACAACATCTTCAATCCTTATAATTTTCAGTATTTTATTACTATTTTTACATCACAAAGAAAGACCAATGCTTTGAGTACTACGCATGATTTTGCAAGCACTATAAAACGCATCCCATATTACACAAAATGAAACAAAAACTAACAGTGTTCCCTACATCGCTCGTATAATCGTCGCAAAGTAGAAATTGAAGGGCTTTCATTGCCTTTCTCCTGAGTATGGATGACTGCATCACCCGAATCTCGTACTCCGTAATATCTTTGACCACAACCGAACGAAGAAGTTCGTGACCTAAAAATTAAATGATGGCAGAGGCACGTAAATTACAATCATTAAATGTTAAATTTCTCATACCCATTATCAAATACCTAATAACGGACTTTCGATTTTCGTCTAAGGTATTGTATATAAAATATAGATACCTTGAAGGACTATCAGCACTGTGCAACGAACTGCTTGCTGATTTGCCGAATGACAAAATAGCACAACCGAAATCCACTGGCATATGATCGCCAGTGTGATCGTTACTCACGAAGCGTTTGGAATACGGAGCAGAAAGAGTCGATTCTATGCTCTCCGAGCGAACTAGTATTCAGAACATGTTTAAAAATTTTTCTGCGCATAAGTAATGAACTAACAGAGTTCAAAATAAGACATAACAACTAAAGTAATAAAATAACAAGAATCAAAAACTCTTAAAACATTAAAAAACTCTATTGATAAAATAATATAAAAAGAGTAGAAATCATGCAAAAATAGTAATAGAAATGATAAAACTGGAGACATCTGAAAACTACATCCACTTGAAAACTGACTTTCGGGATTAAAATTCAAAGCTGAAAGAAATTTACTACTTTTTACAGCTTGAAGTCATATACATTTTCTCCCAAGTACCAAATGCTGCCATGGTGACAAATAGCACAATGTTTACTGATATTACAACAATACCTTCATTGTCAGAAAGGAAATCTAAATGAAGGAAATGCCACCAGATCATAGATACTAATGAAGTTTCGAATGTGAATGCAAATTCTGAAATGGAGATTTAAAAAAAATTAACATCTCAAATCTATTTTACCATGAGATGTTGCATTCTGGTCACTTGCCACGAAACATTGGGATGTCACTGGCAAAAAGCAGGAATTAGGTGAATGAATGAGTGACAATCCAGTAGTGCTCACTGAGGATGCCTGCGATGTATTCGATGAACGATGTGCACGAGAAATGAAATCACGAGAGAGCTTTCGAAATGGCTTCCTGAAAGTCTCATTCTTCTTCTTCATCTCGAATATAATAAATTATTCAAAGTGTTACGCAATTTAGAAAATTATTCGGCCAATCTTGAACAAACACTTTTACTAATACACAATAGAAACGAAAAAATACGCACTGAAACCATGATTTACTGCTTCCTAAAGAAAAAGCTCTTTTACGAGCATCATCTTGAGAAATGGATGTTGATGGTGATGACTTATTTCGATGACACAAATCTTCGCCTTGTGACAAAGTTGCACTACATCGCCTGAAAGATAACATACATGAAAAGAAAAAACTTATTAAGTCACACAACAATATATTACTATCATATTAGTAGTGCTATACATACTAATTTAAACATCTATAACAAATCCAAATTTTTTGAAACAGGATACACTTTGAAAGATATTTCACAAACTTTGAATCTCGTGCTGGCGAACTGTTATCAGGATGTACCGGTTTCTTTCCTAAATGCCCTGACCACTGCTGGCTGATGTGTGATGCACCAAACGAATAGGCACTGAGAGAAATAAAAAATAGACAAAAATATCTAGAATCTACAACTTTCTGGCCTAAAATATTAGAAAATGCGCTTGTTATGAATTATTAAAAACTACCGTGGTGCTCCATTTGCTGCTATTGATGAGTAGCAGCTATCACTGCTGTCAGACACATATGATCGAACTTCTTCTAAATTAAACTGAGGCTCTCCTGTAAACAAAAGTTATGGGTTTCCTACTAAGAACGAATCGACAAAAACAATTTTCCACGATCCGTCCTGTCAAATAATCGAAGCCTTGTGATGTGAAAGAAAATTTTATTTGAACACTTTAGTTCGACCAATGAGCCATTTTAACAGTGCTTGCTGCTTTTTGAAACGCAGCTAATTTTTATGAGTCCCAAAAACCAATACTACTTAATGCGAGAATGTCAGATAACTAACCTAGTGAAAGACCAAGATGTGATGCGCTTCCTGACGACCATGAACTCATATCCATAGGAGCATATTCCAGATTATCAACAGATGCACCTTCTGACACTAAAAATTATGATGTTCAGTCTTTTTTTTTTGTAAGCAACTCAGAATGCAATCTCGCTCGATGAAAACATTGAAGTAAAAAAATCTTGAGTCACATTCTTTTTATCTTTAGGCGTCTGATCTTGTGCAACTGAAATAATTAATGCATTAAAATTATGCTTTCAAAAGTTTAGAAATTACATAGGCATTTTTTCATATTGTTCGACCAGTTCTAACAATTTTTAAATTGGGAACTGTACTATCAAAAAAAAAACAACGCATAATATCACAGACCGACAACAGAAAAAAAAGGAAGTCTGATAAAATCAAAGAATTAAATATAAAGATTTAGAATTTAAGCGTTTTGCTTAAATTCTAAATCGTTATTTTTATCAGCAAGCCTAACAGATGCTACAGCAAGTATGGATACAAGATTTGAAGTGATACTAAGAAGTAGTATACAGTACAGCTATTTGCAATCAAAAGTTATTAAATTTATTAAATACAGCAGTAATATAGGATATAAATTAAAACGCATTCTGTGAAGTAAATACCAAAACAGTTCTTAATAACAATTTTTTCCAATATGCACTGAGCCATCTGCTTAGTTTAGTATTTGAAAATTAACGAAGCTAAAAACCTTACTTTCTCCAGGTGTTGTCTGCAAAAAATCATCATTTGTACTTGTACTTCCAGTGGCAGACAACGAAGCCCTTTCTACGTGATCATCACAATCAATCTGTTTATTTGTTACTGGTATAGCTTTGTGAGATTCCATACATGATGCACACTGCCTCTGTAAAACTGGAGAAGCTTCTTTTGTGATATGGTCTTCTACATTTGGTTCAGTAGGATACGATGTTTCTTCCGTCTCGATTCGTAATGTACTACCACTATAAATTCTAATTTCAAATTTATCTTTTTATAAAAAGCATTCCAAATATATTAAGCTCCCATGTAAATAAAGAAGTTTACTTGACCTTACGAAGACAGATGGAGAGACTTAACTAAGTTATTAATTTGTCAACAGAACTTAAACTACAAACACTAACTCTGACGATGACAAGGACACTTTTATCCGTACCTTGATTCTGCTATAAAGTCTTAAGCAAAAATTTGTTTAGAAACTTCAATATATCGTAAATAATACCTAGATGTTCTACATATAACTAAGTAATTACTTCACCTATCTTCTGTTTCTTCTGCAGCTGACGATGACGTAATAGAAGAACGATGCTGAGAAATCTTTAGTTGTTTCAAATTGTCCAGTGATAGTTCTAACGGATAGCATACTTCACTACTCTTTTCATTTTTTGCCCTGCAGATGTATTCGTACACCATAAATGTTAACATAGCTCTAATTGGAAACCAGGTTGAAGATACGAAATTGAACGCAAACGAAAAACCTACTCAGAAGAAGATGGTGGTGATGAAGGTACCACTATTTTCGTATCAAAACTTCGTGTTCGATCAACCCTTCCTCCCATGCTATTTTGCACTGATCTTGAATTCCGCAAGCTTCTATTCCTATAAAATTCTGATTACTGAAAAGATTGATTAATTTGACTACATTTTTAATAACTATAATTGACTTACACATAAGAAGACGAAACATTGATGTATGTGAGAAGTAAATGCAAATTTATAAATACTTCATACGTACATAAAATTACAATGATTGTAGGATCATAAATTTTAGACAATAACGTAAAAGAAAGTACTTGTTGCTTTTTCTTACCATGATGAGTAGAATTCAACTCTGTAAGATAACATAAACAAAGATGATATGAACGAAAAAAGGAGATCATTTTCTAAAATTTTGATGAAAGAACTTAACGCATGAAAATAAAATTTTTTAAACTCTACCTAGAACTATTTGCATCAAACCATACAATAGAGGGAACGTTAGGCGACAATGATCCTTCTTGCAGTGTTTCTTGGATTGACTTTGCAGCCCATTTATAATCCCGTAACTGAGCGCGCCTTTCTTTAAGCATTAATTCGTCAGGCGTTGATTTCCTAAAGTGGACAAAAATTTGAAACCGAACATATTTTGAAGACTTTGCACTGCATTTTTAAAAACAATCTATCAAATTCCAAGGAGTTTGCGAAAAATTTTCTTTTCTAAAGATTTAGATTGTAATTGTCGTAGTCGAAAGACTCTAAACTTTTCTAGATGCTGAAATGCCTAAAATCTACATTCGCTTGAAATCTTTTTACAATGTAAACTGTGATATGAATATTTTCTAAACTTCACACTTTTGACAAAAAAGTAAATACTTTGCGGTAACAGTGCCTGCTCGTCGAACTCCTGTATGAGTATGAAGTCGCTCTCGATGTGCATTATATGAAGATGGATATAGCAATGCTCTGAAAAAACTGGCCTCAGCAATATTTATATTAGTAAACAAATAACCAAGATTAGTTATGGAAAAATTTTCATTGCTTTTATTACATGTTAATATTATAATTCTAATTGAAAACAAAATTAATCAGAATAAATGTGAAGTACCTTTAAGATATTTTAATATTCATTGAGAGAGTATTTTAATTAATTTGACAAATAGCGAGCTCTTTGGGTTTTCCAAAATAGAAAAAATCACTCAGAAAACGACTTCGAAATAAACTAAATAAGGCCAAAAAGAAGTACAAGATCAAACCTACCCATACGACATTTTTCTTTTTTTCTCACATTCATCTTCAATGATTTTATTTAATTTCCTATGCACATCAGCAGCTACTTCCTCACACTCACACAGTGCCCAGAGTTCGCAAGCACCAGATGGCGACGAGCGACCCATGACCATAAAAAAATACCGCTCCTGGCAGCCAAAACTTGCCATGTATTGACGCTGAAAATGCCTTGCTATTTTACACCAAACATAAAAACGTGGAAAATATACCAAATAAAAAACAGAAAAATTCATGTAATGATGAATTTCTGTAATGATGAGGATATTTAGTATAGGTTTTTCAAATTTTTTACACGTGATTTTTTTATATCTCTTAAAATCTAGCAAATGTAAAATACAACCAAGCTAAGCTGTAACTTAATGTCTAGACTGAAAAAAAGTCCTGGTAAAGCTTAAAAAACAAAATATTTAAAATTTAATCACTCTTTATACTAAAAGAATGATTTTACTTTAAAACCCTGCATTACATGCTGAGTTAAAGAATTTTAGAAACTTGTACCATTATTACTCACATGTTTCTCATTTTCATAAACAGACTTGTTTAGGTAAATAACGCAATCAATCATTAAGCGAGATGAAAAATATAAAGAATTTACCGGAAACTCGATATAGTCAGTCGTTTTAAACGGAGGAATGCCTGACTTGGGTAAATTATCTGCAGATGCTGGTTCGATACCTCGCCGACATACAATAATTGTATGATGGTAAAAACATAATCGATGAGGTCCTATCAGAGATGGATTTTTTGAACATATATTAACTATTTCCTCGACTGGTTTAACTGGTTTTCGTAGCTTCAGATTTTCAACTATAGTGATATCCCACACATATTCTGCAATGAAATACTATTACTATTATTAGAAGAACAAATATCGCAGTCAAAACAGCTTCTTTATTGAAACTTGGAATTTTTTTTGAAAGAAAGCCGCATTCATAAACTCAGAATATGAGAAGTTATCAAGACTGCACAAAGCAGCTTCATCTTTTTATGATAAATTTGTTTTCTAAGACTTAATACTACTATTTAATACCGATCAGTCATCACTTTTTTGAAAAAATGATATTTTCGCAAAAAATAAAGTTGAATGAAAAAACTTATATGCAATACTGATTAACACGATTATAAAACTTATAGAAATTAAACTAACCAAAAAATTCTTTAGATAAAACAGGTCGGCCAAGATGCAAAGCTCGAGCTAAAGTTGCAGTTGAAATCAGCGTCTCGAACCACTCATCACTCAGTGCATCTGTTTCCGCTCGCAAAAATAACGTCTCATCAGGTGTCATAACTGCTACACAATATTTCAGCCGACCATCATACTGTAAGCATAAACTAATAGTCTATAATAATCAATACTACAGAATTTTGCAAGAATAACTTATTTTTTACACCTGCTAAACACTCTTTTAATCTTTTAATCTAGCAAATGTAAAATATAAATCAAGCTAAATTGCATGGTTAATTTCTAGCTTTAAAACCAGTCCTCATTGTAAAATATCTAACTATCCATATTAAAATGCAACTTCATTAGATATGCTGGTGAAAAAGTAATCAAACTGAGCAGTGAATTAAGTTTTGATTTGAATTTTAGGGACAAATTTCACTGCTGATACCAAAAAATAGATTTAATTGTGAAGATATCTTTTAGTTTTTGCAATAATCATGATCAAAATAAAATATTTGTTAGAAACTAAGCATATAAGTTGAGACATATCTCTTCACTGTGGAACTTTTTGTTGCAAAACAATTCATTTTATAAAAATAAGCTGCTTCAAAATCATGATCATCTAGCTATATAAAATGATCCGAAAATAAAATTATTTTTGCAATGAAATTTAAGTCTGAATGACAACCAAATCTAATAAAGTCATTAATAATGCTACCCACTCCTTCCTCTCGTCACAAATCAGAATAATATAATGAAAATAAATTAATGAAAAACTGACCATAATTTTAAAATACGAAAGCTATGAAATCACATTAAACTAATCTTTACCAATAAAAATCACGAATATAACATTAATTTTCACACGAATCTACATTCTAAACAATCATTGACGTAAGAGCTCTATAACATTTTGAACCGCGTCAAAAAGGAAAAAAAAGATTCCATTCCTACACACAATCATAATCTGTAATCAATCAAAAACTAATTGAAAACATCTCCGCTCCAGAAAAATAATATGCATTCCCTTCTTTCAAGAATGACAAGTCAGAAAAACATAAAATTTTAAATTCAAAAAATTTCCAGGTAAGTTATTAATAAATTTATGACAAACTAAAACAACACCATGCTCAATGTCTTCTATACTTTGAATATTATTAACTTACATGTCGATTAATATTGAAGCATGTGGAGAGATCAATCAAATATCGTGGATGTCGGTTTTTTTTTTGAGCTTTTTTCTCACTTTCATGTAACTCAAGCGCACGATGACCCAACACAGCATAATATGTTTTTTTCGTTTTCTGAATAATTCTGAACCTATTAGCATTATACATTAAAATAAAACAGAAACATTGAAAAGAAATGAGAAAGACACTGAATTAAATGTAAAACCGATTTTAATTATCATGAATAAAAATAATATTCATTTGCTATCTAAACTAGTGTTTTTAGATAGCAAATAAATACTATCTAAAAAAACTATTTTTACCTATTTTACATACATACTAAAAAATTCAAAAAAAGATTATTAAATGTTAAAACGAATAAAAATGTCTTACGGCAGGAGCTAATGCAGCTGTAATATAACCGGATCTGACTACACCCGTCTCCTCTTCAATCGAACTTGAAGCTCGTTTTTTTTCCACGCTGGACATTAGGACAGTTTAATTATATTATAGTGTTTTTGAAAACAATTTGCAGGATAATAAAAACAGATTAATAAACCCATACAGTTCCATTTAATTTTGTCCACTACATTTTAGAATCCAATACGCCAGAAACTGAGGCACATTATACTTATTACCGAATAGAGGTTCCACAACACTAGTCACTTATTCTTCCAGATGTAAAAAACTGAAATTTAATTTATTTTTTCTAAATATACGTACATCAAAAATTAGTCCGAAATTGTATTTCAATACACAAATTAATTGAAACACGTAAAAACCACAACAGTAATTTCAAGCAAGTATAAGCGTAAGTTACAAAATACTAATCAGATTATCATACAAGAAAATAATGGATGTCACCGACGTAAAAACTTGTAGTTCAAGAAGATAACTGAGAGTAAACTATCACGAAATTACTGAAATCTAACAAGACTAGGGATTAAGAGGACAATCAAACAAAAGGTTAGAATAAAGGTCACATGCATAAAGACTTAGACGAAATATAAATGATTACTTGGAAGCTAATTATGTGCAAAGGCGATATTAGCCCATCACTATTTCCCGCTTAAAATCAAACTATGCATTACTCTCTTGCATAATAATCTGATATATTACAAATTAAAAAAGTACAAACGATTGTCCAGAATTTCACATTCAACGTTTGTTATAAAAGCACAGCCTGAAATAGTCACCGCTGTTGATCTCCAACGTCTAACATTAATTATCAGTTATCTCCTTTATATTTCACTTAACCTTTTACTGCATTTAACTTTGTTTGACCTTCTCATTTTGTATGCAATATATATCCTTCACGCTTTTCTCGCATCTATAAAAACGACCCCTAATGCTAAATTTCGCAACGCAAATCTGAAGGAAATCCGACGCGGCGTAGTAGAGTTTGTTGTTTACATCAGGAGGACAGTTTTAACCGATCAGCACTTTGCAACTTGGCTATCCCATCAATACTGCCTAGTTTTTGATGCATGAGAAATATTGATTAATTCGTTTGATTTGGTTTTGTAATTAAATAAATTACGGAAAAATTACGTATAAGATGTCGTTAGCATTAATTATATCGCTAGTTTGCACAATCTTTCAAGATGGTTTCATTTCCGTTTCTGATTTGAAACGCTTGACTTTGACGTATTTGAGCTTAATGATTTGTCTTTTCAAACTCTTTTTAATATAAAACAAAATGAAAAGCAGAAGTTAAAAATAGTAAAGTTAATTACAATATAATTAAGTGTGACACGTCGAGTTACGTCGTTCCCTAAGGAATATTGTGCTGGTAGTATGCGATGAAGATAACATAAAGTAAAACATCCAAAAATTGAGCTTTGCAATGATTCTATCCACATGTGATAATAAAATTGAACTTCAACCTTTGACATTAATTTTTTTTTCCTTTAAACTTTTTTCAACCCTATCTATTTCTTTTTGCTTTTTGAATAAAATGTGATTAACTTATTTCTTTTTTCATTGACTTTGACAAATTTTACAATAATCGTAACTTAATTCCACCTTAGTTTTACAAGCGTAGTCTTAGCTTCGAGGGGTCATATACGAAGAACAGCTGGCAGCTTAATTTAATTTTCAGATTTTAAGCATAAACAGTACGGAAAATTATTTTTTTAGTCTTTCAAAATCTAATTTTTCAAAATCTATTTTTTTTAATGGACTTAACTAAATTTGTACACAAAGTTTGTAAGCATAAACAGCGTGAAGTATCAAGTTTAGGTTTTACATAAAGCTTATACTACTCTGGCATTTATGTTCACAAAGTTTGTGTTCTTTTAAGAAATAGCAGTATCCTTAAAGGTTGTAGGGGTCATAGGGTCATGAAGAACAACAGACTGTGCTTTTGTAGCAAAGGATCGATACGAAATATCTTTCTTTAATTAATTAATACTTGAAATTTGAAAAAATAAGCAAATTTTTTCAAAAATGACCTTTTATTGCACACTGTCTCACTTAAAAAAATATTACCCTGAATTCTGACTAATTTAATTATTTTTTGATAAGTTTGTTCGAAGCATTTTGTCAGATTACAAAAAAGATATATGTATTATTTTTTGAATTAATTGATGAATGCAAAGTCATTCATTACTTAGTATTGCTGTTACTTTGTTACTAACTTATAACTTAGTCAAGTATGAAATAATACTTAGCTTCATTTATTTTAAACAAATAACACCAAATAAATTATCATTCTTTACTGTGTAATTTGCCACTTTTGAGGCGCGATGTAAGTATAACTTACGTCATACGTCATTTCACTGCGATTTTGATAATAATGCAGTAAAAAATGAAATAAAAATAAGTTAAGCGTATAAGTACGTAAAAAGAGAAGAATTGCATTTGTTATACTATTAAGGTTAATTGAAATCTTTCAATCAGAATACGAATATTTAATGTTAATGATTTGCACCTTTGGATTATTCTTATAAAGTAATGCAATAGTTATAAAAAATGTTTTTAATTCTGAAAATAATCATTCATATTAGATGGCAGAAAAGTTTAGATTTGCAATTAACAATACTAGCAAATATTAATAAAATAAGTAGTGATAAATAATTAAAAAAATAGTAATTATGGTAATCACAATGATAATGATAATTATGGAGTAAAAATTAACAATACTAACAAATAATAATGAAATAAATGATGGTAAATAATTTAAAAAAATAGTAATTATGATAATAACAGTGATAATAATAATGATAATGATAATTATAGAGTAAAAATATGAAGTAAAATAATTATAATAAAAGAAGAATGAATGAGCAAGAAAGTAAAATAGTGGTAAAATGAGTGACATTGTGTTTTGTATAGAATTTGATGGCAATTATTTTCGTTTTTAATGCATTTACTGAAGTGCAATTTATTCATTGCATTTGTTATTGCAAAGTGAAAGAACGAAAGG